AAAACTATCCAGTAGTTTTTGTCATGCCCTAGCCTATCTACCATAGGAAAATGAGCGAAATCGAATTTTCGACCCTTGCCGCGAAATTAAGAATTTGTCTGATTTTTACTGGCAGGCAATCTTAATAATTCATCAAGTTAAATCCAAGAAAATCGCAACCATGAAGGACGTTTGGACACCCGCTCTTAATTAGCATATATTTTAACGATTTTACATCTCTGTTTACTTCTTACTTCTTGTTTTGATTGAGAAGATATATCAAACACTTGAGACAGTGTTTCATTGGTTCTCTAAACACTCGAATTTCGTCAAAAAACACTCCACTTGGCATCGTATTAACTCTCCTCTCAGTGTTTGGATATCCCGATAAAATACTGTCTCTAGTTTTTGATATATTACGTGAAACGCTGCACAGTGGTCGCAACTTACAGGAAAGCGATGACCCCGGTTCTGAAGATAGAGATGTTGATTGAGTTGAATTAACAGTATTACCACAGGTAGCCAAAGCGGCGCACTGTAAGAGTATCTATGGATCTGAGAGTTGATTAAAAAAAAAACCCTTTTCCTTTTCACCTGTTGTCTTTTTCCGTGGTTTGAGCATTTCAAGGGGACTGCCGAGGCCAGTTCGGTCATGTTATCTCGTAACTGTTGAAGGCGCTTTTACAGTACCTGTAGTAATTTTATAGCTTCTATTAAGGCCACAAACGTCTTCCAAAAGAGATGAAACTTTTGAATAAGGCCACTAGTGTTGTAAAAGCTCTTTGTTCGCTTTATTAACAACTTTTAACAAAAGAAAAGCAAACTTTTCTAGATATTGCGGGTCCAGCAAATTGGGGGGGGGAGGGGGTTGTAGAGTTGGCGTAATCTCAGACACAGTTGGTGGTGTTCTAGCAAGTTTTTTTACAATAAAGAATATTTTTCTTTTCAATTTCTCTAATCAGCGGCCAAGCAGTCCGGTAATAAAGGACTTAAAACCTGGGAAATAATTGCGATCGCCGCTGGTGGTGTCCTCCTCGTGCTGTTAATTGTAGGAGTGTATTGCTGTTGCAGAAACAGAGCTGGATACCAAACGATCTAGGGCTCCATTCACACAGAAACATTTCCATCTGAAAACTAATATATTTTTACATATTTTGCCATTTGTCTACTCGTAAACGGTATATGTAAAACGTATGTTTCGTAAACGCCCTCAAAGGGGATAAATTAGTACAAGATAAACTATGAAATAACGAATACGTTAACTTTGTAAACGCTGACGTCACAATAATTACGCGTGCTCAGCATCAGTCTTGTAATGTTACGTAATTTACGCGTCTGCAATGTCTGCAATGTCTCCAATGTCCTGTCTGCAGTCTCCAATCTCGTTCCCAGGGTCCTCTCTCTACCTCGAGACCTAGGAAAGAGGTTGGTCAGTCTCGTATGCGAGAAACGCAGGGTTGCTACAGGTCACGAAGTGATCAGGGAATAAACTTCTTCAAGGTCAGGGAAAAGTCCACTCAGGGAATTTGATTTTGAGTCAGGGAGAATTGACTGAAGAAAAGTCATGCCAGGAAAATTGAAATAGTTTAACAAGGCTGGAAGAAGCATTTGTGGTCACTGTGATCTCAACGATGTTTTACCGTAATGTAGAAGGAAAATTTGATGAAAACTTATCAGTTTTTATGAATGAGTGGAAAGAACGGCTGTAAGGGGAGACTAGAAGCCGTTACTAGATCTGACATTTGGTACCCACCATTAAGAGATTTCCTTCAAGCAAAACTCGACAGAGAAATGGTCGTTTTCTCCTAAACGAACACGGTGACCCTATCATTTGAGCGCAGGTCCTTGGGACATTTTTGCTATGCACACATGCAGCGAATTCTTTCATTTGTTTCATAATCTTTAGTCCTTTTCAATTAAACTAGTTTATAATGTAGGTAAGACTATTTTGTTAAATGGCTGTAGTGGTTTAGTGCGAGAAACGACTTTTCTAAAACTATAGTTGCATGGAAGATCATTCTCGCGTAAGCTGTTAGTGTGGTCTCTTCGTGTATTGCATTCTTAACCTTCTATTTCTGATTATAACTTAATAGTGTTTATTTAAAAAAATAAAAACAATAAAAACAGGATTAATACTATTTGTTTTTTGGAATGATCTATCTCCTCAGTTCTTGAGACTAACTAGAGACTGATAGCAACAGGCAATGTTTGTTGGAAACGATATTTTGCGCGACATCGAACTGTCTGTTACTGCTAGCAGAGTGGTCATTTTTGTTTCATGCCACTGAAACGATCAACCGCTGACTGAACAGCTTGTAGGCTGTTAGCACCACAAGATTTGCTCGATACTGTGTTTAACTTTTCATTTCATTGCCAATGTCTCCAGGGACTTTCAGCTTATTCAAAGATTCTTTGAAAACATTTAGATAAGTCGCCTTGAACGTAAAAAAGCGACATTTTATTTCCTTGGCGGAAGGTATCAGAGTCTTCTCGTTCCACCGGTCTTCCTCATGGTCGTAACACTCAACTAGGGGGGAAAACAAACCTTGCGAATACCCACCCAGAACGTACAGCGTTTCATTGACCAATACCATGTTGCCTTGCTGACGAGGAACCGTCAAACTTGCTATGGACTGCCACTCGTCTACCAACATGTTGTACACTTCACAGGTTTTCAAATGTTTGCTGTTTTTTCCAACTCCTGCCCCAATGAAAATCTTGTTGTTTGCGACCATGCCAAAAGCGTAAAATCTCGCTTCTTGAATGGGTGCAATTGCCTCCCATTTATTTTCAACCGTGTCAAATCGAGCGGCCTCCGAACGGACTGAAAATTCATTGCCTTCCAATAGCATATATCCTCCAATAGCGAAGATGTACTTATCACAGGCGAGAAGATTGTCTTTTAACCCAATGCAGTGGTTAAGAAATTGAATTTGACTCAAGATTGTATTTACAAACGTTTCCGGGCGTGGTCTCGTAGCCTCGAATGAGAAATTCGGAAATAAAACACATTTGGTTTTTCACAACCAAAACCTCGTCAACAATTGAGCCCTCTTCAATTAATACTACGTGTGGATCCCGCCTTTTTGCCCAGGGCGCTGGATACCAGTGATTTAAATCTGGGTCATAACATTTTGATTTATAAATTCTGTCAAAAATGGCGTACAGCTGACCTCGATGTGAAACTACGCGCTTTATACGTCCACAAAACGGTACTTCCTCACACTCGATCGTTGGAAAACGGTACCAATCACCTTTCCCAGGTAGATAACAAAAACATTCGAAAGGTTTTGACACTCCACAAGCCACGATAATAGTCGACTCAAGAACCTCCCTTGGTCGATGTGGCCGTGACACGTGGCAATCGGCCGCTCGATCAACCCATTTCAAAGCGCTAGTCACGCTATCAAGGCAGTTCTTATTTTCCTGGACAAGAACGTTGGTCACGATATCAGTCACTAAAAAGTCACGCGACATGCAAGTCAGTCGTACGTGACGGAAAAAGTTCTCCGAATTTCACACCTCGCTGGCTCTTTTCTTGATTAATCCACTTCAACAGAACTTTAAGCACATCTTCCTCTTCGCTTATGACTATGTGTTCGCTTGAAATCCATTTTTCAACCTCGTCACTCGGCAGATTCTTAAACCCTTCTGATTCGGCGACGGCCGCAAAGTTCAAATGGATAAACTTCCGGCTACTGTTGATCAGCTCTTCGCAATTAAATTTCTCTGTTAGGTAATAATATGAAATACAATTCGCAGATGACAAGTTCTGAGCAGTAAATTTCTGGGCGATAAACTTCAAGCCTTTAAGGAGCAAATAATCAGCGACTGCAACCAAGTCCTCAAGTTTCTGTAGATTCGAAATCTCTATGCTGCCAGTGTAAATAAACACGAGAATATCTGCCATTTGAGACTGGGTAAATATTTCCATTTGAACAACTCCGTCTCTACTCTCCTTCATGTCGCTGTTGAAAAGCTTCTCAAAGAAAGGACTTGCTTCTGAAAGAATGTGTCTGTGAGCTTCGAACTGTTTTCCATTTTTTGCCACCAAAATTATATCGCATGGACCCCGAGAATCTTTCAGGTCTTAAGATTTCAACTCAAATCGATCCATTTTCACTGATTACTTTCGGAATCGACCTCACCTTTGAATTTATAATTATTTGCTGGGGGTCCCCCAAACCGTTTTAGTCTCCCGGGGACTGTTCGCCGGTAGTCGGGGATCAGTCTTCCGTGGTCAGCGGTTTCATTTGTGCCCCGCTTAGTAATTTCGCGGACAATTTCGCTCACATTTATCGTCGTCCTTGACGGCTGCCTGTGAGATAGAAGACGAGCAAAGAATATAAAATGCTTTGTAACGTGTCTTTACATGGAAGCATCGTGAAGAAGGCTGCTATAGCAGAGGACCTTGAAAGTTTGATCGAGAAAGGTAAACACTGTGTTAACTATGATTTCTCAGGCGTTTTTGTTTTTGTTTACCTGACAAAATGGCGGCGGATCACGTGATAAATATTTAAGCCCTTATAGTTTTAGCCATTTAAGCTTTCACTTTTAAAAGGCACAAATAGAAATAAACAATTTTGTTTTCAATGGGGATACAGATAATTTATAACACTTTTGGCAAGGAGTAAAGTTGTTAGTTCCATGGTGTTTTGTTACACTGTACCTGAGGAGCTGTACCAGCAGTTCCATTGAATATTGACCCCTTTCAGTGTACCCTGGAGTTAAGATTACAAATATTTCGACCAGGTAACGGGGGTTCTGCTTGGGTCAGGGGACTGCTTGCACTCCTTCATTGGTAGTGGGGGAGGGACAGAACTTTGTGTTTGCTTCTTTAATTTGTCAATTTTTCCGGGGAGAGGGGAGAATGAAGTCATTGGCTCCTGGTCATGAACAGTGATCGTTACTATTGAGTGGATGATATAGTCATCGTTACATTTTGATGGGATGGGTCTTTATTTTTTCCTATGAGCAAGGAGCTGGGAAGGGGTGTATTTTTCCCATCCACTTAGAGGCATTCCAAATATAAAGAAATGTATGGGAATGTTGTAGGGCTTTTAAAATCTTAAGAATATTGCAAGCACAGTTAGAGACCTCAGTCTCAAACTCCCCACTATCTCCATAACTTAAACTTAGTTTCCCTTGAATGTGCTTTTCAGTTTTTTCCTATCAGCCATCTGACAAACTCAGCTCCAGTGTAGTGTTGAATTGTGCGCACTGTATGGTGAAAACAACAATTGAGGTAACTTTATGTATGTTATGAATTTTAATGTAGAACTGTAAGTAGTGATCAAATAGAATCATCAGCATAATTTCCCCTGTGTATTATTTATACCCAGGTCAATATTCACTAGTTTGTGTGCTCTGAAAGGTGGAAATTTGACGTTTGTGGTTGATATTGGGGTGGGGTATTTGGCACCATATGAGAGTTGTGGGGAGGATTTTAAACCTGTACGTCCTGAACATAGTGAAGCAAGAAAACATCATCAATAGACAATGTTGGGGCTTCCAAAAAAGGCCTTGGAAAACTTTGTGTTGTATATGAAGGTAAACTGATATGCCTTTTGCCAAGGGTTTCATTAATGTTTACAGTAGGAGGGTAACTGGTTTTCACAGGTGGGCAAAACTTTTTGAACTGAATTTCGTTATAAGAAAAACTCTCCTCTGGAAGGTTAAATAAACCAGGCAGGCAAAATCATCCTCACAGCTGGTCAATTTGCCCGTGCAGTGCCTGGCCCTTAATGAAACCCCTGTTTTGCTTGTCAAAATTTAATTACTTTTATATTTTAATGATATATAAGCAATAGTTGTGGCACTGTAGAAGTTCAAAGTGGGTATTCGGGATGAGTTGGGTTCTTCCCATGACTGATTTTACCATGCATGTCCCTGGGGTAGCTACATTTGACCCCCTAGTATAACCCAAAAGGGGGCATTTGAACATAATTTTTGGCCTGGGGGATGGGAATTTGACTAACTGAAAATTGGAAATATCTAATGCCTGGGGGTTGCCCTGGGGGCAGGGGGGGGGAGGTGTGGAAGTTTTGTACTGACTGATACATTACTCACAATATATTTGAGATATTAAGAACCTTACTGTATTCCTAGGAATAAATGAAAAACATCCTTACACCAGGAATGCTAAACATCCCTCTAACAGGAATAAGAGAGGATTAAGTGTAACAAAGGTAATCCCATATGTGGGCTTGGGGCAGATATTGAGTTTTAGAGATGAAATACAGTTCGAAATACAGCCAGCTGAATGCGGTCCTCTGTAGGGGGTCCAGGGGCTTTGTGCCCCTGAGAATTTTAAAAATTGAGATCCTCGGAAATGGGATGTCAGGCATTCTGAGGCCAAGTCAGTGTATATAATGTCTCATTTTTTTTAATTAAGGGGTTTCGACCAAACCCCTAAACCCCCCCCCCCTTAGATCCCCCCAACCCGCCCCAGGAGACCTTAATCCCAAGGTAATCCCACCTCAAGCTATTTTCTCATCACTCAGCCACATCAGCTTTGGCAGGTTTTCATGCAGGTCCTCTATCCGGGTGGAATGGGAATTTGGAAAAGTGTTGGTTTTCAGGAGGGGGTGGGGAAACTGGAAAGCCCGGCAAAAAATCCTCGACGATAACTAACAAAAAAACAAAACTCAACCCACATGTGGCACCTGGGGCCTGTTTCTCGAAAGCCCCGGAAACGTTTTATGCAAGCTATTTTTAATTGACCTGTAGCTAAAAATAAAGAGGTGTAATAATGTATACGTCTGAAACTTCTTGTATGAAGGGAACCTCATATTAAGAGTATGTGAATAGCTCTGTAATCTAGCATAAGGTTTTAGATTTTGTTACGGCTTTCCGGGTGCCAAAACATTTCGGGACCTTCAAGAAACGGGCTAGACTTTCAGAAAAGTCCTTCGTCTTGTTTATTCAATACCCCGCCGGTCGCTCAGCCGCTTCGCGGCCTAACATATTCTACCATGAAATTCTTGAGGTCAATTGTGGCAAGTCTAGAAACGGGCCCCAGGCCGCTATCAAATCTGGGCCACATTGGTTGAAGACAAACTTTCTCGCCACTAAACCTGACGAACCATTTCGAAAATAACAACGTAAGAGTTACCAAGAAATTTAATTATTTTGATTTACACAAGTAAGGAAGACATAAAGTTATGATCAAAGACCTCAATTTTTAAGAAACAATACAAAACGAAGCAAGGCATTATAAGTGGGTTGAATTAGTACTAATTTGCGGAGCATGTGGTTAGCACGGAAATTTTCCTTTCAGTTCTGCAATTTTATTGATAAACTTGGTTGTCAGAAGGACGGAATGAGAAGATTAAAAAAAACCTGTCAGAGAGATGAAGAAAATGGCTATTGACAAATTGATGTTTCCAAGTGCCGTTTCATGCCAGTAAGGCTTTGCGTAAAACGTATTGCTATGGTTATCTGAAATAACCACTTTCCAGCAAACAATAGTTTGTTTCTTTGAAACTGGGGAAAAAATTGGCGTTTGGTAACAATTATTCTCCTTGCAGTTTGTCGCAATGCTGATATCAAGCTGTTTGAAGTAAGCATTTCGGAGGATAACAACGCATCTACTGCGTAGGAATTTAATAATAAAATTCCAGACGTTAGAAAAATTAAAAAAAAATTAATCTGTGACTTTGTTTGCTCTAAGACCGGTCTTAATTTTGTAACTGTCATACATGTAACTGACAGCTGTCAATTACAGATGCCAATACTTACTGACATCTGTGGAGTTGAAAACAGCAGCTGCCTAACTTCATTCGTCTGAGGAAGGCTTTATGTTATTTGTTCACTGAATTGTTTTTAGAGCTAGTAAGATGGAAAATTTGTCCTCATGATAAAAATTTGAAGAAACACAAGATCAGGCTGACTATCAGATCGATAGAGGGTCAAATCAAACAATTGCTCTTGCGTTCCTACAGTCACGTTTCAGCCCATTGTAATGAGCAAAGTGCGGCCTTGTCCACACTACGCCGGAGGAATTTGAAAACGCAGCTTTACTGATTTCTTCGGTTAGGCCTACCGTCCACAGTGATCCGTCACGAAAGCGAAGCTTTCCGGAAACACTCTTCAAACCGGAGGAATCGGAAAACGCCGTCTTTTCGTTTTCGTAGTGACATTTCAAGCAGACAACTTAACTGAAGACGTAATATGGTTCCGAAAAGGCGTGTTATTAATTGTTGTCCCTCTTTTAGTAATAGCATTTTACACACGTGTAACTATACAGTTTGAGCATTGGTTATCTAAAATACTCCAACTTACAACAGACTGGTTCTTTTGAAATAATCTCTCAGAGATTGGCAAAAAAGGGCATTTGGAAAGAAACACTGCTTTCCGTGCAATGGTGACAAGCTGGTGTTTGAAAAAATTGGCATTTTATTGTTAAATTGTTATTTACAGAAGCTAGAGAGACATGAAATTGATCTAAAACGCTAAGTACTCGAAAAGCGTCCTTACTTTATTGTTCATTTTGAATAAAACATTGCATGCTGAACATTTTTAAAATCAAGTTGCAACCTCCAGCTGGCACCAATTCAGCAGAGCTTGAAAACAAAGCACACGTACCCGGCTACACTGTCGAAGGTAAGCAAGCTTCTTTATATCTGCTCAATAAAAACTTTTAGTCAAAGGATGAAAATTGAAAATTGGTACCAGAGATAAACTTTGAAGAACTGGATATCGAGGAAGGTCCCTTTTTTCATCTCGGAATCAAACTCTATACTAAACGTTGTCTCAGCAGTATTTGCTATGCGTTTGGTAATGTCGCGGCAACGTAAATAAGTAATTTCACGTTGTTAGAAAACTTAAGCAATGACGACGGCGACTCCGAGGACAACGCCTTGTAAAAAAATGAATTTATATTTTAACTTCGAATTTCGTAATTGTCTAGATCTGTTCAGTACGCCTATTGCTCTCAAAACTTGCTCAAGCTAAATATGTAACGCCAGAGTTCAATTCTGAATGAAAATACGAAAAATTAGCCGCCGCCGTTTGTTTCCTCCAGACTACGCAGAACATAGCTATATCACGTTGTTGTCGTGCAGAGGACGGCAAAGAAATGTACAAATATTTATAACGCACGTGCACCGCCATTCTCCTCATTAAACCTTTTGTTTGGTAGCGTTCCCGTTGCCGTTGCCGTCGTGGTTTGCTCAAGCTCCCTATTTTAACTTTAAGCCGCTTTACGTACCTTAAAGCAACTTACGTCCCTGTGGAAGATAAGCCCAGGCAAGGGATGAGAAGAAGTGCATGTTCAAAAGCGTTTTCCGCCTTCAAAGCAAAAACTTATACACCTTTAATTACGCTTTAATCAGAGGTTGATTGCCTGTTTTCAAGTAGAGGGTCTGGCTAAGAGAATAAGAACAGTAGCTACCAAAATTAATTCCCGCTGATCAAATGGCATTTTCCAGCCCTAGATAAGACTCGTAAATGGCATAATAGAATTTTCGGTAATGAGGAATTTTCTGGAATATATTTGAGAATGGACTTTGAGATCTGGTTAACAGGCCTGTTTCGTTTTGGATACACTATCGAACCAGCAGGCCGGTACTAAGAACCAAATCGACTGACTCGATGTTTCGCAAAGGCCATTTATATATCAGGGGTAAAAAAAAAAAAATACCAAATTGAGAAAGTTTAGATATCTGACTGGATGTATAAAAACCGTGTTTCAAGGCTATCAGTGACATGTGAAATGTCTGTGGCTATGTTAAACTGTTACCTACAGCTATATGAATTTCAGAACTGGAAAGGGCATGTTTTAAATAACCAGAACTCAAATTTTCACACCAATGCCGTGCAAGGTTGCGATTTAATGGCGATTTGAATCTTGCAAAAATTAGAAGGTCTTGAATGGAAGTGAAGAAACTTTCCCCTCCAAAAACCTTTTCCGTTGGTAATTAGTACCAAAGGAAGCTGTTGTCATTTAATCATTGGAGATAGAAAGAGGGGTATAATATTAGGAAGAATGGAATATTATATTCTAGCCAACTGAACCGAAAGGCAAGGGTTTTATGGCAGTTTGAAAACTTGGACAATTCCAAGGATTTGTATGGAAAACCTCTGGAGCGTGAGTGGAGGGCAACGCCTCTTCCAATACAAAACCCTAATTTCTAACGTCATTAAAATTCCCTCTTAAAGGATCTGAAAATTTGCATGTAAGCTTATTTTTTTTCCATTTCTAACATAATGCATTACAAGTGACTGACTCAGTGTGTTCTTGGAAAGCACGTCACGTGACCAACTGTTGCAAAAGTCCTATTCCACACTTCTAATAAATGTAAATATATTTTGTAAATTTCTGCTTTTGTTTCTTTGTTTATATATTGATTTTTTTTTTATTTAAGACATTAACGCCTATTTTTTACTTGGAAAATTACAACAATCGAATCTCTGTTAAGAGGCCAGCAGTATAAACCTCTACATATTGATTGCCATGTTTTTGTTGTTGTTGTTGTTGTTGTTGTTGTTGTTGCTGTTTTGGCATCATGAAGGCAAAGCTAATAAAATAAAATAAAATCCCTTTTAAAAAATCCCTCTTAACTGGCCACCTCTATTAAGCGGCAGCAGCCACCTTTTGGCCGTGCCGATGAGGGTTTCCTATTGTCTTTAGCCCCATGGGATGGCCGCCCAGAATTGGTAAACGTACGGTTGATTTTATGGGGCGTTTTTATATTTTGTTTAGTTTAGTTTTCTGTATTTTGAGAGCATTTTGAACAAAACAATTATTCCACTCGCGCTTGTTGGATATGAGATGGTTATAGCCAGCTCGGCGCTACACGCCTCGTTCGCTATCTACCGTATCCAACGCGCGCACGGGGAATAATTGTTACGTATACCACGATAAAGCGTTGTATAACTAAAGTGTATGAGTGCCGATAGATAAATATATATTAAATTAATTAATTACTATTTCTGTTACCTACGTTTAAGGACAATGAAGTTCTTTATCGTCTTCTCGATACTTTGGGTTTTTGCTGTATCGTTTCCTCACAGTGATGCAAAAGGAACCAATCAGCAAGCCGAGGTAAAGATGCTACGTAATTCCACATATCGTCATAGCAATCACGACGTGTTTTACTGTACTCGTGGCTAAGTTGTTACTGTTACTACAGTGTTGTTATATGTACAATATCAATATAAGTACTATCACGAATGCCGTTCTCTGATTGGCTACGCTACTCACTATCTATTCTCTTGCAGAGAGTGAATAGCGTAGCGGTGTGCGCTTGTTAACAAAATGGCGGCCGCTTCTTTGCGTTTTCGAGGTGTCTGTTAAAAGGATTTAGATAAAGTTTGGAACGTCTAGTAGACTTATATTACAACGATTAGATTATTCGCTCGCTATTTCTATGCGTGACTATCACGTATTAGTAGAATTCTACTAGTATACTAATGCAAGTGCTGCAATCTGATTGGCTAAGCTACCTTATACTATCAGCCATTAGAGTGCAGTAGTTGTCGATCGTCCACGAAATGCGACTTTTTTATCGTTTTTCCGAAGTTTTGGAAGAAAGTTTAGATGTAAATAGATAATTGAATTCCTGAGACGACTGAAAAAAGAAAATTGACGGCTTTTCATTTCTGTTGCCCCTCTGAAATACTACCACGGTATATGTGTATTTCCGATGGGACCTTGAGCTGTTGTGTCGTTAGTAATAGTGCTGGATACATCAAAACTCGGTTGATGACGTATCCAGTCATATTTCTGGTTAAATGCTTCAACAAGCATTGGATGATTCGATCTCTTATTTGTAATTATTTCATTTCTATTGCAGAGCTTTCTTCAAATTTCCCAAGACCCAGGTAAGTCTATTAGTTATTGTTAGCTCGGTCGCTTTGATTTGGTACGCGTGCGACGTTTTCATGTCTAATGACAGGTATTTTAACTTGTAACCCATGCAGACAATTAAAAACAAACCAGCCAGGATTCATGATTAAAAATGTTATTAAAACTAGAAGTAATAATAGTAATAGTCACTTTAGGAATACCATGCTTCCAGGAGGTCTTTAATAATAATTTCTAGCTTTGTCGATACCTGTTATAGTTTTCAAAATCCATGTTATGGTAATCTTTGAATTGGAGTCAGAAGTACGAACTACTCTTTGTTTTCGAAGTGTAAGTGAACAGCTACAGTGAAACCTGTATTAAGCGGACCCCATATTAAGCGGACACCCTCTATCAAGTGGACACAAGCTGAAGTCCCAAAATTTTCTTCCCACATTTACTGTAAAATAAACCTGCATTCAGTGGACAACTCTGTTAAGCGGACGCGGACACCAATATTAAGCCATTTTGTTGCACAAAACCTGCAATAAGAGGGCACTTCAGGGGCTTTTTACTTCTGAACGCTCACCTCAGAATCCTTTAACATTGTTCAGCGAAGTCGTTTTAAGGCTGAGTGATTATTCCAGATTGATGCATTGACTGACTGGACATTGTGCTATGAGCAGTCTTTGATCTTACCCTGTGTTACACTCTGTTACAAAAGGGTTTACTTAATAATTAACTATTATTGCATAACATATTAGAACCTGTTTTGCGCGGACACCCTGTATTAAGCGGACACTAATGAGGGTCCACCGGGGTCCGCTTAATACAGGTTTCACTGTATTCTCAAAATCTTTAAAATTAAAAATCACGACTATTGCGGTGTTTGGCTATCTGATCTTAATTAGCCCAGAAGATTTTATATCTCCGTGAACTCCTTAGTTTTAGTTCGATTGAGAAAATTTATCAAATACTCATGTCAGTGTTTGATCAGATTTCTAAAAAACTTGATGGAATTAGAAGGTCTTCAATAATACTCCGCTGCGCGTCGTATTTTCAGTTCGTTACTCCGTGTTTGAAAATATGAGCTCAAACATCGTCCTTCGTTTTTTATTTATTGCTTCCGTTTTGCCCATAAAACACGAAGTCGCAGTTTGTTAACAATGTTTCTGCTTTCTAGGTGTGCAATTCTGATAAAATTCTCACCTAGTGTTTTAGCAGTCTTTAAAAAGCTAACCTTAAAGGAGAACGGAAGGCGAAAACACAATTTTTAAAAGTAGTTCTTACGAAAGCACATGATACGTCGTAATCAAACCGCTATGTTTTAGGATGTGAACTTACCTTTTAACCTGATTGTAGCAGCAAAAAGCTCCGTACCAGAACAATTTGAACGTCCGCCATTTTGGAAGCCATGTTGAGGGCTTGGGCGCATAGCATGACGTCACTGTGCACATGGGAAAAACGCGCGAATTTCAACAGTTCAGGAGACAACAACAGCTGAGATTTTATTTTTGTTGTCAAATCGAATTATATATAGCACTGTTTGTAGAGCTTCAAATGTTACGTTTGTGTATAATGGAATCTTACGTTGGAGGATTAACCGAGCTCAAAGAAACGTTCGAAATAAATCTCACAGCTGGCAAATTATTTGTAACCAAAACCCACGACCAAACCCACGATAGCGGTCTTCCCTTTGTAAAGAAATCGTTTGAAAGAGAAGGTGCTGTGTTATACATCTAGGAGTCGGTAGATCTGTCTTTATGTCTGAACCGAAATAATATAGACAGGTTATATCGCAACCATTTCGCTGCCATTTGCGCTTGCCACGGACGCTACGACAAAATACGAAATAAATGAAATAAGTCAAACAACACTTTCTTCCCACCGATTCTATGGCTGTTTATTAGCTTTCCAGCGCCAAAATAATTAACATCTGCTGAATACAAAAGTGTTATTCACCTGAAATTTTATTTGCGGCTTCCGCGATCTCCTTGCACGATAAATATTCTTTCTCTTGTTGCCCTTCCCAGTTAGCACAACACTCGCATACACTTCCTCCTCGGCGCTCATCTTGACTCTCGTTAATGTCGTCTTCCTCTGACTCCGAACTATCTAGTATAGGTTCAAAAGAATAAGGCTCGATCTCAGCCATAATCCAAGCTGAATGCAGTTCGTCACAAATTTTGTTGACATGAAAAAAGTATGTGCGCTGTGACGTCACGACATGGCGGAGGACATTCTTTTTATGGAAGTAACCGGAAAGAAAGATGTTCAAAATGGCGGACGTTCAATTTTGAAAAATGGCTTTGGGTTTTGGACTCTTTCTGTCACTTTCGAAAGACAAAATTCACTTTTTCTTGCTTTTTACTACAAATATAAGCTATTTCAATAGTTTTAAGCTCCCATTTAAAATACGACTCCTAGCCTTCCGTCCTCCGTTAAGTTCTTTGGTCCATCCGTCATTTTCAAAGTTTTGTACGCCAGAGTCAGACAATTCTATGTATTTTTAATCAATTAAAAAAAATCACACTTACCAACTAACACGTTCTAAGTTGAGAAGCAGCGTGGCTATGTCGTTCTGACCAACAGCTCCAGGCACGATGTCAATTCCTTGACCACGCTTGTCAAAACCCAACTGGGTTGCGTCCTCCCAGCCACCGTTTAATCTTGTTATATTAATTTGAATAATTTTTTTCTACCATTTAATTCGTCATCCTCGCCAATGGCCACTCACTAGCTTCCATGTTATATGCACTAACCTAAGATAAATAAGGGTAACTTACTGTCTTTTATTTTATCGCTTAACAAGGAAACAATTCCAAGGAAAGTACCATCAGTACCACTGAAGAACAGGAAACCAAGTTGGAAGATATCCCAGTCGACGATCCAAGCAAAAAAGGACCAGAAATGACTTTTGGAAACACTGCTGGAAACGTTGGCCAACAAGGATGCAACACAGGGAATGTTGCTGTCGGTACACAAGTCAACAAAGACCATATGAATAGCGTTGGTTGTACCACTGGCAGCGTTGGCAACGAACGAATAAAAACAGGAATTGTTGCCTTGGGAAATCAACCTTATAAAGGCCTGGGAAAGATCACTGGCAACACTGCAGGCAGTCTTGGCAAAGTAGGATCCATGTCATTAAAGATAAATGGGGCCGCCTTGAAGGGCCTGGGAAAGATCACTGGCAACGTTCAAGGACTCGGAGTAAAACTTGGCAATGCTAAAGCTGGCCAACTAGGAGCAAACATAGGACAAGTTAAAGGACTCGGGGTGAAACTTGGCAATATCAATGCTAACGTTGGCAAGCTAGGAGCAAACGTAGAAAAGGTTGCAGAACTCGGTGTAAAACTTGGTAGTATCAATGGTAATGTTGGCAAAGCAGGAGCAAACGTGGGACAAGTTAAAGGACTCGGGGTAAAACTTGGCAATATTGGTCAACTAGGAGTTAACAAAGGAAAAGTTAAAGTCGGCACTCAAGTCAATAAAGGCCAAAAGATTGGCTTTGGTAACGCTGCTATCAGTGTTGGGTTACAAGGCGCGCAGACGACAAATCTTGCACTCGGCAATCAAGGCGGAAAAGGTCAAGAACTCGCTTTTGGCAATACTGCCGGCAACGTTGGCCAACAAGGAGCCAACACAGGGAATGTTGCTGTAGGCACACAAGTCAACAAAGGTCATAAGATTAGCGTTGGTTATACCACTGGCAGCGTAGGCAACGGAGTAATTAAGACAGGAACTGCTACCTTGGAGAGCCTGGGGAAGATCACTGGCAACGTTCAAGGACTCGGAGTAAAACTTGGCAATGCTAAAGCTGGCCAACTAGGAGCAAACATAGGACAAGTTAAAGGACTCGGGGTGAAACTTGGCAATATCAATGCTAACGTTGGCAAGCTAGGAGCAAACGTAGGAAAGGTTGCAGAACTCGGTGTAAAACTTGGTAGTATTAATGGTAATGTTGGCAAAGTAGGAGCAAACGTTGGCAAGCTAGGAGGAAACATAGGACAAGTTAAAGGGCTCGGGGTGAAACTTGGTAATATCAATGCTAACGTTGGCAAGGTAGGAGCAAACGTAGGAAAGGTTACAGGACTCGGTGTGAAACTTGGTAATATCAATGGCAATGTTGGCAACGTAGAAGCAAACGTTGGAGGGCTAGGAGCAAACGTAGGACAAGTTAAAGGACTCGGGGTGAAACTTGGCAATATCAATGCTAACGTTGGCAAGCTAGGAGCAAACGTAGGAAAGGTTACAGGACTCGGGGTGAAACTTGGTAATATCAATGGCAATGTTGGCAACGTAGAAACAAACGTTGGCAAGCTAGGAGCAAACGTGGGACAAGTTAAAGGACTCGGGGTGAAACTTGGCAATATCAATGCTAACGTTGGCAAGCTAGGAGCAAACG